TGCTAAGCTAAGCTAAAAGTGCTACCGCCAGACCCGGAGATCGGCTGAATGGATTCGAAAACGGTAAAACTCAACAGTTTAACTCTAGGGGAGTTGGAAAATGAGCCTATTTTCAAAAATAGTTGAGTGTTCCTTTAAGTAGGTGGTGGAAACATGGCGAGACCAAGAACTGTTTGTGCAGATTTTCCTTCATGCACAAAAGGTATAAAATGGCCAGAAGCTTTAAGAACATGCAGCAGTGCCTCTTTGACAGTGTGCTGATGTACTTCACAGTTATTGGACAGAACTCATTCATCTCTGTGCAAGGCTTTAAAATTGTGGCTGATTTATTTGCGTGAAGCACCAAACAGGAAAAAAAAAAAAAAAAGACCTTGATGCAGTAGCTGCAAACTAAATCTGGGGTTCTGCCAGAGAGGCTTTTAGTTGCCATAGAAACATTTATGGCAGAAAAAAAAAAAAATTAGACAGAATGACATTGATGGTAAGCTCTCAGAACAGCTGAGTGATTTTACGCGAGAAAACCTTCGAGAGGCATTCACACATCAAAACACAGAGGCGTATGTAACCCAGGTCATTCATATTTATAGGTAGTAATTTGTTGTTTATATTGCTGTAATATGAATAGTAATATTAATAATAGAAAAGCAATGTAAAATGTATTTATTTTACAATGAATCAGAAACATATAAATGTATATATATATATAAAGTCAAACCAAAAATTATTCAGACACCATATATAATTTTTTTTATATTTTTTTACTAGTGGGTGCAGGACACTATAGTTCATTTATGTAAGTGAGGATAGCAAAATAAAGTAAGCTGAGACATACCTAAAAATTCTTCATACTGTGGACTACCAGTAAAATTGATAAAAATCTGGGAGCAAAAATTATTCAGAGACTTTGACCTGACCATGTTTTGCTTAATTGTTATCTGACATTATCAAGATGAATTTGTTCTGACACAGTTTAACTCTGAGTTCTTGTCATATGTGACCCTGGACCACAAAACCAGTCATTAGGGTCAATTTTTGCTGAATAAATAAGCTTTCCATTGATGTATGGTTTGTTAGGATCGGTCAATATTTGGCCGAGATACAACTGTTTGAAAATCTGGAATCTGAGGGTGCAAAAAAATCAAAATATTGAGAACCATTTTCTAAACTTTAGCAAATAAACTGTGATAATGTGTGAAATGTTGAAGGTGTCAGAATACATTTTGGTTTGACTGTATGTATATATATATATATATATATATATATATATATACACATGTATACTGTAAGTATCCAAAGAGATCCAGAGAAATCTAAAAAAAATAAAAAAACTCAAAGGTAATGCCGTTCTGTCCAACCAGATTGCCAAATGCATTTATTTAGCTTTGTTTCCAGGTGTGGATCGAAATCAGGGATTGATATATATATATATATATATTTTTGAGATTTCCCTGGATCTCTTTGGATTAAACATTGTTTATTTATTTATTTATTTTGTCCCGTGGATTGAACTCTTCTCACTGCTGATGATCGTTAATGATCATTAATCTCCTGAGCTTGGACTTGAGATAGTGATTTTGAAACTAGAATATTGAACTTGAATTTGAGAAACTAACATTGAAACTCTGAACCTGATTTTAAACTTTGATATTCTGTATTTGATCTGTGCTCACTGTTGATTAAAAAAAAAATCTATTGTTGATTATTTATATTTTGTCTTTTTATCCCATTTTTGATAACATATTATCCAAAACAAGTTATTCAGACAAAATCAGAACAATATATTTCCCTTTTCGCTGATTTCTCAGTGGTCCGTGTAGTCACTTTAGTGTACTGATTTCCTGTAGATGTAACCTCCCTTTTGCTCCAGTGAGTCGATCCTTATTTTCTGAAATCTGGCTCTAGATTTCTAATAGATAATGCTGTCCCCTTCCCCACTCATTGTAGCTGTTGTGAGACATGCGTTACACGTACATGTATCTGTAAGCTTCATTTATATAGTGTCTGTACACTAAATTCAAAAGATTCTCACAAGAAAGGACACTGGGATATTACTTTATTTAAGAAATCAGTAGGAGTGGGAATATACCTTATACATGGCGTGCTCAAATTTCTGCTTATCATTGTTCGACAATCATAATCATATTGAGGAATTAATAGCAGCCTTACTCAGTACTTGCACGAATTCACAGTAAATGATTAGAAAGCAAATCCTATGGACGTTGCGTCACTTGAGAACATTGTCTTTAATATAGAACATTAGAACTTGTGGATTTTTTTTTATTTAAAAAAGGGCTTCTTGGTTAATGATGTAATGATGTTTTTGTTGTTCAGACATACAGTGGTGTGAAAAAGTGTTGGCCCCCTTCCTGATTTCTTATTTTTTTGCATGTTTGTCACACTTTAATGTTTCAGATCATCAAACAAATTTAAATATTAGTAAAAGATAACACAAGTGAACACAACATGCAGTTTTTAAATTAAGGTTTTTATTATTAAGGGAAAACAAAATCCAAAACTACATGGCCCTGTGTGAAAAAGTGTTTGCCCCCTAAACCTAATAACTGGTTGGGCCACCCTTAGCAGCAACAACTGCAATCATGAAACATTAAAGTGTGACAAACATGCAAAAAAATAAGAATACAGTTTTCACACCACTGTATTTATATTAAAAGGGTCATGAAATGCAGTTTCAGATTTTTATATTGTGTTTCTCGAGGTTAGTTTATGAAGACTGCAAAAAACCTCTCGCAGAAACGGAAGTAAACGCCCACAGCTGTAATTGGCTAACTTCATTGCACTATATCCACGCCTCCTTCATAACATGATGTGTGTTTTGATACTTGAGATGGCAAGCGCTGTGATAGAGCCATCTATGTTTGAGCCCGAGTCAGATCCTGATTTAAAATCCAGCTGTTTCTGAAGCAATAAAAAAAAAATAATCTTTTAAACTGGGGTTAATTTTGAGTTCTGAAACTTACTAGAGTAGCCTCTTATATGTGAAAATATCAAGAACATTTTGATTCTTCATTCCATGACCTCTTTAAAAAAATAGATGCAGTTCATACATGCTATAACTTAAATACATATTCTCTTTGATGAACATGTTCTGAATTTAAATCATAAATCATAAATAATATTTTTTTTCATGAGATGAAATGTCATGAGAATAGTTGAGTAGTAGATGTTTTCTTTTTCTTCATTATTATTATTAATATTTGTGACAGGTGAGTCAGGGATCTGCATAAATACTTTTTGAGATCTGCTTACACTCACTTGCAACAAACTGTATCTTAAGTACATACAACCACAATGTATGTGCCCCAGACGTTGCACATATTCATCATTTAACACATGCTCATAAAAATCATGCACTTTAAAAACTCTCAACATGTTACCGACATACCTTTGAATCTTCTCTCTGCTGCTCTCTGTAATTATCAGTAATTTCATGCAGTCCTAGTCACTAAAAGTGGCACTGATGTACCTGTATATGCTACTTAATGAATAAATACAAAATAGCTAAATCAAACAGTGGCTCATCTACATCATCAGCAAACTTTGTCATAACACCCTTCCCTAAAACTGCTCAATGTTAAAGCATGAAGATAGTACAGCTTTCTATTAAAGCTGCTTTGAAACAATGTGAATTGTGAAAAGTGCTATACTAATAAATTTGACTTTGCTTGTTGTGTACAGGAAATGCTACTTGAAAGTTTCAACTCCTGCAATTTTGCTTTTTTGCAGATGCAAGCATTTTTCAACAACGGTTGAAACTAGCATTAATCTTACGACTTGGCACATATGCTTTAAACTAGATTTTCAAAAGATTTCCTTTCTATTCATCTTTGACATCCTAGTCACTGACTCGTTTACAAAACCTGTGCAGCAAAAGAAGCTATGAGAATTAATTAAGATTGTATCAAGATACAAAAGATAAAAGTGATTTAGTCATGCAAGAATCAAGTAACTATGCACCGTTATGCCTTGATTTCAACATTCAGATTAAATTACTATTCATTGAATTCTAAATAATCACATTTCTACCCTTTATTTTAGCTCGAAGAAACAAGAAACTGATGCGATTACGGGGTCATTCGTCCTCAAGTGAGCAGGCCCCAGCTCTGCCTGAAGAGAGCATGTGTTCACTGGTGCCCAAAGCCATGCCCCAGCTGGTGCCCACCATGCTGTCCCTGCTCAAAGCCATTGAGCCTGAGATCATTTACGCGGGTTACGACAGCACCATCCCGGACACCTCCACCCGCCTCATGACCACACTTAACCGTCTGGGAGGCCGTCAGGTCATCTCTGCAGTCAAGTGGGCCAAATCCCTTCCTGGTGAGCCCTCAGTATTAGCTGATATACAGTTAATCATTACACAGCCCTTTGTTTTGTTTTGTTTTAATCATTATTTTCCAATTCATCCCTGTAAAGCTGCTTTGAAACGATCTGTATGGTATAAAACACTATATAAATAATGGTGACTTTTGTTGTTTGTTTTGATTTGATTTTTGTTTTGTTTTGTGTTTTGTTTTGTTTTGATTTGATTTTTATTTTTGTTTTGTTTCGTTTTGTTTTCTCTTATTGTATTCCCTTTTTCTTCCACTTGAAAAGGTACTTCATGTTGCCAGAATGTCATTGTGGAGATGTGCAGGCATCTTAAATGTGTACTTATAGGGTCAAATGTGCCAATCACTAGTTCGTCAGCAGAGAGAGACTGAAAAGTTGTAGAAGGAATCCGTTATGCTAGAGATCTAATGAGCATCTGCGGGCATCATGTCTGGCCAGGGGATTGAAAAATCCATAGTAGGGCTGGGCGGTATGGCCGTATGTATCGTTACCACGGTCTAAAGTGTCTATTGTTAGAGATTTTGGTAACACTTTACAATAAGGTTCCATTAGTTAATGTTAGTTAATGTATTGAACAAACAATGAACAGTACATTTATTACAGTATTTATTAATCTTTGTTAATGTTAGTTAATGAAAATACAGTCATTCGTTGTTAGTTCATGTTAGTTCACAGTAGGGGTTGAACGAATTCTGATTTTTTGAAGTCGACTTTTATGTGATGAAAGTCGAAGTCGACTAGTCGCTGATGATGTCATTAATGAACAAATAAATCTGAAGTAGCACAGTAAAGAATACATTCATATGAATACATTAGTGAGAGCGATTGCGTGTGTGAAGCAATTATACCTGGCAGCGTCTCTCTACTAGTAGTGAAGCTGTGAAATTTAGTTATTAAGAAATAAATGCTTGTACTTTTCAGTTTCTATTGAGAAATCACAGAACAGTGTTGAAAATACATTTCCGCGCTGAATGATTCTATGCGGGTGATGTACGCGCTACTGTCTGTAGCCTATGTGTGTGCGTTACAGTGCAGCAGCGCATTAGATTAGAACGGCGATTAACTTACCTGTACAATAAGCTGTTTAAAACGTGCATTCTCCCGTTCAATTTCGAGCATCCAGTAATATAATCACACATGTCTTGTGGAACGCTTTCAGAGCATGCATTTATTTGTCATTTGAACTGTTTGGAAACGGAGCGTAAATGTGGAAGTCCTTCAAAGATTTCTTATCCTGTTGTGCCCTCTATAGGACCAGCGACTAGTCGACGTCAAGCTTAAAGCGTCATGGCAGAGCATTGAAGTCGACTAGTCGATTAGTCGGTGCAACCCCTAGTTCACAGTGCAGTAACTAGGCTAATGTTAACTTTTGATTTTAATAATGCATTAGTAAATGTTGAAATTAACATTTACTAAGATTAATAAATGCTGTAGAAGGTATTGTTCATTATTAGTTCATGTTAACTAAAGTAGTTAACTAATGAACCTTATTGTAAAGTGTTACCAAGATTTTGCTATTTTGTTAATTTCCCGGTATGCAAATATATCTGCATAGCACAGTACTACTTAAAAGTTATATATACCTAAGAGTGACAAAGAAACATGCATGAATGAGAAAATACAGAGTGTGACGTGCTTGATGTAAAATAGCAATATGCAGTGAATATTTCAATGTGGTGCTCGCACTGACTGACACATAGCCGAAGCGCTCGCACCAAGCGGCAACCTTCCGCTCTCTCTCTTGAAACCAACACGGAAGTGACTTAAACTGCAATTCATCGACTGGCCGCTAGAGACTGGCTCCAAAAGGGAGTCATTTCCATAGACCTCCCATGTTAAAATGCCCAATTCATGTAAATTATGTGTTAAATAAACGTTAACAGTTGGGTGAAAACCGGATGTGTTTCAGTAAATTGGATAAATTGGATCGGTCTTAAAGGGACAGCAGCCTAATTTACCTGCTGCTGTCTGTGTCATTGATGTTATTCAAACAACAAAACACGACTTTCAACAAAGATTAATCTTTATTTAATTTATACAGTGAACACTATGCAGTTATTTTACATTTAATAATTACATTTATGTACCTACAAACTAATTAGACTTTATTGTATTTGAAACTTTGTTCTATTTTATTTATCTATGCTTGAAATTTGTTTATTTGATCTTATTTTATTACTGATGGTTCACTTTTCTTTAACAATGTTTGACCTTTTTTGCAGGGCTACCAGGGATTTTGAAATTTTGCAACCCCTGTTATTGATAGTAAGTAAGGTAGTTGTTGTAGTAGTTACTGTATGTTTAGGTAAGGGATCTAGAATATGGTCATTCATTAATATGTGCTGTATAAGTAGTAATAATCATCCAATAAGCTAGTAGTATGCATGCTATTAAGCAGCTAGTTAATAGTTAATAGTGTTCTCTAATCTAAAATGTTACCGTTTCAATCTTCAACCCATTAGCCCTCTACCGCACGCATTATGATAGACCTATAGAAAAAAAATTTTGAATCTTTTTCTTTTCTAAGAATGGCTTAACTTGAAGTGCTGTAAAAAAAAATTTGGAAAAAAAAATTATTTTAAGGTACTTTATGATATGTTGCCATACGGCAACAGCATACAATAGTGGATCTAACTTAGAATAAGTGTAAGCTTACTTATAATTAATATTTTTCCTCAGAAATGTTGTTTGTGTTGATTCAATTGGTGCTATTATAAGATTTAACACAGTACTTACTTATAATTGACACCTTATACATACTTTCCAACAACTTGTGCTTTTATTTATTCTATTCTTTTTTTGCTGAATAATGATTTATAATGGTTTTAATTTCATTACATTTTTCATGAATATTATTTAAACTGCAAATTTATACAGTTAAAACAAATATAATACTGTATATAATGTATCATAAAACACTGACATAAAACCAAAAACATTGCAGTTCATGAAAATTCAGCATTATGCAATCTC